CTTACAACTCTACCCCGCACAGGGTTCGAGTTGTGTTCGATCCATTGGTGAGATGCATGACAATTGTGGTGATTTAAACAGGGAAGACTGCAAGGGTTGATAACATTAGCCAGACATTACATGTACTACGACGTACAGAACAGGAGAGACTGTCTACCTTCTCAGTTAGACCATTGGTAGGGTTCGACAAGCTTCATGCCTGCCGTTTGCAGACTTTCCCGGAGTCATCACAGCCGACCTTCCTGGAGCAGCGATGGCCGAGAAGAGCAGACAAAACAGTAGAATGTATGCATCTACCTCCCAGGCCCTGTGCTCTCTCAGCCTGGGAGCACCAAGTTCAAGGGTGCCAGCGCGTCTGCATTCCTTCAGTGCTTCCTGAGCTGACCCACTCAGGCTTGATGACTCCGGCGTCATCTGCTGTGCAGTCGCAGACTCAGACACTGCCTGACTGGGCCGAAAACCCCTGGCCGCTAAGCCTGTGCCGACTCGTCTCAGACTGTTCTACGCAGACCAGCCTTGTCCATCATCCGCTGCTGCAAGCTCTTCTGTAAGTGGCATCTTTCAGAAACCGAGCGTGAGCAGGCTTGTGTCATAAGACGAAGCCGCAGTCAGCAAGGTCGAGCCCACACCTGGCGGTGAGTTGGGAACTCAAGCAATGTGCTCGCAGTTTTATAGATTCTTATTGCAGGATTATGACGGAAGATCGTCAAGTCTGCTATGACACGCTCTCAGCCTGCAGGAAGGAAGTGGACAAGCTGCTGTGCAGGATCTGCTTGCTGGAGGGCCCCGGAGAGGAGCTATTCATACCTAGGGCATTGCAGAGGCGCTATCCTTGGAGAACTGCTTTTCGTGCAAGGACGATCCTCTCATTGCACCGTGTCAGTGCAAGGGCTCTATCGAGCGGCTCTCTCAGAGGATTTGTTAGCTTGGTCTTTGGGGTGAGTGTTCCACCTATTGACTCGTCCAATTTGAAAGTCGAGCTCGGACCCGTTCTCCCGCTACCTGAGTCACCCCCACTTCTGTCTCTCGCCCCCCCTCTCTCTTCCTGCTATTTCCTTTCGCTCTCTTGGTTTGCAGTCGGTATCGCATCTCGGATCCCGCTGAAGGTATGTCCACCTGGGATGCCTCCGGCACTGGATTCGGGGGCGTCTGAATCTCTCCGACCGACCATTGGGCTCGTATTTCTACAGGCCCAGTGCAGTCGATATCCGTTGTGGGGATGTAAAGTGCAGCCTCGGCAGCGAGGCCCTTGACTTGCGAGCTTTGCAAGTCGGTCTATCCGACCTACATCCACACCAACAGCGCTGGACCCTCAGATCGGCCCGGTTGTTTGCAGTTAATCCACGCATGGAGCACTCAGGGCCAAGAGAGATCGCCGTTGGTTGAAGTGCCATTTACGCAGCCGCCTTTCATAGTTCTGGAGAACATGGTGGGCCGACAAGATTTGCAGAGCAGAGTGCAGTCCACAAGACGAAGGCGGCAATGAAACCTGCCAGGTGCGGGATTCCCAGCAGCATACGTCCAGAGGTCTGCATGTGATATCACTTGCGGAGAAGGCCCGAAGAGCTTGGGCAAGCTGTTGAAGTTGCAGATCCTCGTCCACCCTCTGCCGACCCGGTCCCGGTCCTTGCTCGGAGGAGCTCAAGCTTGGCCGCGGCCACGAGAGCGATGTGCGCATTGCGGATGCCTGGATCTCCGGACTCTGCAGACGTGGCCGGAAAGCAGCTTGCACCAGAGAGGATGTGGAAAGCTGCAGGTCTCAATCTCTCGCACTCATGCAACAATTCGATTCAGCAGCGACCTCAGCACTGTCGCGGAAGCTTGGGACTTGGGTCTACTTGGGTCCGATGTCAAAGTGCCCTTCAGAAGTGTCACATGTGTGCCAAAGCCTGCGGTCGCTGAGGCAAGGGCCACTTCCTCTTGCAAGACAGCTCGTCGAAGTTCGGCACACTGGTCGCCATGAAAAAGCCCCGGGTGCTGGAGCCAGGCTCTGTGAAATCGGGGGCCTGGGACTATGGTGACTATGGGCGGCGGTTAAAGGCGTAAGAAAGTGTACATTCCAATTTCGCATTGAGCGTATCGGCTACCGGACACATCCTCCAACGCCTTGGCCCACCATCATCTCAAACGTGGACGCCCTGCACCAAGTCTACGAAAATCAGACCGAGGGTCATGCAATGGCTTCCTTAGATTTACAGATCACTGGAGTATTTACTTGAGGCCATAAAGTGGCATGTGGCCAACCTAATCGGTTATGATCCCTCAAGCACGTTCGGGTAAGCCTCTTGCTTGACTGCATCTGCCAGGCGTTAACATTTCCATTCAGATGGGCCGGACGGTTCTGACACTGTGTGCGCAGCACGATCCGAACCAGTCAAACTCGGTGATGCCGACTTTAGTTGGAAAGACTGCTACCATCGGATCAAGAAGCGTGATGAGTTTGGTCCCTGCAGCTGCCGTGTCCGTTGCTTTTGTGGAGATACCGGCTGGCCGTGGTTTCAGCTGAGCCTAATTTCCATGCCAGGCATCTTCTTTGAACCAGCTGCCAGTCGGGGGCAGTGCTCAGGCTGGGATGCCGCTCTCTGAGGCCAGAATCCGTCGCACAGCCCCCTGAGGACGAGCGAGCCCTGCGGCTGTCCCTGCTGACCCGCGGACAGAGTGAGGGTGGTCAGTCCGGAGGACAGACGGCTCAGAGTGAGGAGCTTCCCGAAGAGTGAGGCCTGAAAGCGCGGGCTTCTGCCTGCCAATAATTATGTTTGGCGTTGCCACCTCAGAGGCCGCGGCCACGGATTTTGCAGCAAACATCTACACGAAGATATCCTGGTAGAGCGAGCCTCTGGGAGATCAGAGGGACCCCATGTGGCCGAGCACATCGGTACCTTCTCGTGACAAGCATGCACGCAGTCCGCTGCTTGAAGCGGCACTCAGAGTTTCTGCGGCACTCGAGAACACATACAGCTTTGTTTGGCTTTTTGAGCTCGTGTCCTGGCTCGAGACTGCGTGCCATACTTAGGTTTCTATGTCCATCAGAGTCCCCGATCCCTTCCGACAACATGCATGTGTTTGGGGGAGCTTGGGGTTTTCATCAGTTCACCTGCCCACGCTCAGCCGGAAGCCGGGATCAGCGAGGAGGGCTGCCTCTGAAAGACAGATCTTGAGAAGTGATGAGCGCTGGGAGCTTCGCTGATTTCGGCTTTGCGGGGCCGATGCTTAGGAAAGATGCCAAGAAACCTTGAGGATCTCAGCAATTAGGTGCGTGTCGGGTGTATACCGCGGCAAATTGCCTCTAAGCAACATACCTCGATGGCTTCAGGCACAGTCGATTTTTCTTGAGAGTTGTCCTCATCTGGCCCACGTCACATGCGAGCCCTTCCGCCCAAAAGGCAGGTTTTCAGCTCGAGGCTGCAGTTTGAGAGGGCGAGGGGTGTTCTCATAAGGGTCAAGTTTCTGAATCTGCGTCGGTAGGTCAGCAAAACGTCGAAGGGCTCGCCAAGAACAGTCGCCTAGGTCCTGGGAACAAGGATTCGCAGGAAACTAGCGGACTATGAACTGAAGGTGGCTCCTGCCAGAAGGTTTCTCTTGAAGGCCAACCGAATTTACGACCATGCACATACACAGATGCATGCATACATGCATACTTACTTACATGGATACATACAGGCAAACATATACACGAATGCATACATGCATGCATACATACATACCTACACACTAGTACATACTTACCTGCTTATGTACATAGTGCATACAGCCAGCCATGCGGGAAGGCAGGGAAGGGGAAGGCAGGACAGACAGACAGACGGCCAGCTAGGCAGACAGACAGAGACCGAGACGGAGAAGGAGACGGAGACGGAGAAGGAGACGGAGACAGAGACAGAGACGGTCAAACCCTCCACCACAGCCCTCACGAAAGAAAGAAAGACAGACAGACAGACAGACAGACAATAATACCTGAATGCATGTATGGATGCATACATACCTACCTGTATGCATGCATGCATGCATGCATGCATGCATAGATGCATACGTATATATATATATATATACATACACACACACACACACAAACACAGACGCAAGCACAGAGCTCCAAGCTCGTGACAGGGAGAGACCTGGTAATCGAAACTGAATCTTCTCGACACGAGGAGAGCTGAAAGTGCTCCTCTTGGACCGTTTCGGATCCATTTTCGGGGATGGAGCCAAAGTGATAAGATTTTTGCTTTCCAACAATAAGAGGCATCCCAATCTTCGTAATCATTGCCACCACCAGCAGCACTGCAGCACCACCGTCATCATGGCCAATGCCTCGGATGCAAGGGCTAAGACTTGCTGATACCACCATGGTGGCGGTGATCGCCATCGTCATCAGAATCAGTCTGAAAGTACTGCGCTGGCTTTGAGAGCCTCCAGACCCTGGAATCGTCTAAGATCTTGACACGACCGGCGCGTGAGGTGTCCTTAGGACGTGAGGCAGCAGACAGCCGGGTTGAGTGAACCGTGATGGTCTGCATAGGAACCGAGACAAAAGCAAAACAACATCCGATGTGTGCACACTGCATACACGGCCTTGCTCAAGAGACCAACCAGCAATGTACACACGTACAAAAAGGCAAAGAGAATCTGACAGTCATGACAATGTGCCTCGCTACTCACCTGGTCCACCAATCGCGGAATTTCAAGCGGCCTCACCTCGCTACGGAGTTTGAGGATGGAAAGGAGGCAAGGCGTGGTGAATTCTGCTGCGAGAGTTAGGACAGCGAATTGGGGTTCTTGTTGCAAGCGCCAATGCCACAGGATGCCGCTGCAGTGGCGCAGCCATTTGCATAGATGGAAACCATAAAGCCAATCCATTGAGTGATTCCGCGAGCTGTTGCAAGCAAATCATGCAAGGTCTGAGCTGCTTGCCTCCATGGCCAGTTGCAACCATCGATACTCGCGATACTCCAACCAGTCTCCACCCAGAGGGAGTGTTTTTCATACTCTGCTCCCCTCGCGTCGCCATGGCGGCTCTGGAGGCGCTTTCACTCTTGATTTGTCTTTGGAAACTGCATGCACGCTCGACATCGCTCGCCTCTTTTCGGATAAGCTGTTCCAGACAATTTCCAGTCTTTGAGCATGTACGATAGAAGTCCTAGGAAGGAAGGGATAGTTTACCACGATGCCGGGTGCAAAAGGGTGCTTCATGCTCGTGCAGGCGGCAGATCCTGCGATTCTGGCGAGAGGTCGGACGGCATCCTTTTGCTTTTAAGCTCACTGATCAGCTACTTCAGCGCCGTGCTGTCATTGGAAGGTCACGGCTTGTCCATCTCCAGCTTCCGAGTGCCCGGACACCTGCAAGCCACCCGAAGGGCTGGCTGGCAAGAGGCCGTCACAGAAATGTGTGATGATGCGTTTGCAGTAGGTCAGTAGGTGCTGTCTTCTACGTGCGTGTATATAGATATACACATACACATGCATATACAACTAAAGGTACTCATACATATTACCTATGCACATACATGTTGCACATACGTTTCTGAGCATTTTTACTTTATCACATGCGTTGGCCGTTGCATTGTACGGACATGTTTTGCTGACGGTGTTATCCCATGACCAGGGCACTATCCTGGTTGTACAATAATCACTTCTTGCTGGTGGCATCCATGAAATAGAGGCAGAGCTAGTTCAACGAGGTATCGTGAACAGCTCTTCAACGGAAGGAAATGCATCCCAGGAATGGTGCCGCACTAGGCACGCAGAAGAGCAATAGTGCACTGGTCGCGCGTCGAGCAGGTAGGTGCAGGCGATGAAGATTGGAGCTAAAACGATTTGGTAGGATGGCAAAATAAATGAAAACAGGATAGGGTAGTTGCCAGATGGAATCTCAGTCACTGGACAGCAACAAGATTGGCGCACATCTACCCAAGACGGCGGTCAGCAGCTGGCAGGAGTTGCAGCCGCGCCAAGCACAACAAGCAACTTTTCGTAGAGAACCATCAAGACTAGACAAACGGCAAAGGAAGCAGATTCGTAGATGGCTGAGACTCGGCTGAATGGCCAAAAGGCGCTTGATAGACACGTAGGCGGACGCCAAACGCTTGACCCTAACCTTAGTGCTCGTAGTACGTGGCATTTCGCAGTTGCGTCATGAGAAATGGGTTTCCTCTTGAACTGTACGGATAAGCGTCGTCCCTAAGCCTTGCCGCAAGGCAGCAGACACTACTAGCCTACTAGCTACTCTGGTTGAGTCTAAGTTGAGAACTGGAGCATCTGGCTTCGCGGCTCTGCGCAGGTGCCAGCGCCTGGCGATGCTCGAGGCCTCCTCTGAAGAGTTGGAGAGTGCGAGATCCGAGACGGCTGCAGCGATGGCTGCAGGTCAAGCTGGTGAAATGCCCATGGGAAGAAGTCGAAGCAGGCTCGGTCCACCTTTGGCAACCAAAATAATAGCAATAATGGCTTGGCAGATCCGGCCGTGCCTTTTGCGTGTCATCTGCAGGCAGACTCAGCTGGGTGCTGCGACACTGGTAGGCCGACACCTGTCCGAGGGTTTGCGGAACTTCTAGTAGAAGCCTTTTAGTGATTCTCGTTGACTACGTCTTGCTAGTCAACATGATGGTTTCATCGTTATGTGACGTATGTGTAGTGAACTGGTCCTAGAGGGCACAGGCAGCAGGGCCAAGCTGTGGTTCCGAGAACGAAGGTCGTGGTGCATGTCGCGTGTCGGACAACGGCGTCGCAGCACGAGGGTATCTGCCAATCTCGCCAAGTTGCACGCATCCACGAAGGTCAAGCGAACATGCCACCACAAGGAAAAAGAACGGAGAGCTTGCCATCTACCCCCATAAATTCGTTTCGGTTGCAGCGAAGACGAAGACCGTGCCAGCCGTTGTTGTCTGTATAGTAGCACAACAAGCACACTAAGGCCCCTCCATTGCTTTCGTGAACTGTCCGGGATGATTGTTGCAGGTCGATACGAAGCGGTACTAAACCCAAACCTGAAGTGCTTCGCAGTTGGTGATTTCTGTTTCAGGTGCCTCCACGTTCCTGGCTTGACCCTCAGAGGATCTGTGCAATATTGTGCTACAGTATGCAAGTTGGAACCTTCTCTGCAAATCGTCTGATGCGAATAGCGTAAACAGCGAAACACCCTGTCTGAGAAAAAGGTACTTGTCGGCATCTGGCATGGACAGGCTCTCGAGTCAAGCTGCAAACAACAAAGCCTTGAGGCACTTGGCGCAAGAGTGGTGTGATGTTGGTGCGTCTCGCTGGGCTGTGAGGCAGCAGGAGGTCAGCCGGCCCTTTCCAGGCTTCATGGGTAGATAGCAAGGCTAACATTCAAGGAGGAAGCAGCCAGCTCGTAGTGGCCATTCCGACTTCAAGGGCCGTTGGGCCTGGAAGTGATCCCACGAGTGGAAGGGTACACGAGGCAAGCTTTGCCCAGGGGAGCAGCGTCGAACTGCAGAGCCCCGGCGATTGCAATTTGGGAGAAAGGAGCCTGTCGCGCTTCGTGGCATGATCACCGGATACGTTGTGGAGGCTCTGACGGAGCAGTCAGGTAATCAAGGAATGGCAGAAGATTGCACAAGCAGCCTGGGGGTGGCGAACCGGATTTAAAAAGAGCTCTGGACATCAGCAAATTCCGCAAGAAGCTGCAGTTGCACTGCAACTACAACCGTCAGCTACAAACATGGCTTGCGTTTCTTGCAAGCTCTAGGTTTGTAAGTTCATGATGGGCGAGTCGCCATTGACTGTGATGGACTAGATTTAGATCCTATGATCCTAGGTTGTTCCGGTCCGGGGGGGGGTTAGCTCGGGAAGCTCGAAGTTTAGGGATACACGTTGCGCCGCCAGGAAAGATGCAAGTCAGGTTTGGTCACGTACGCATTCTTCCTCCGAAATGTGACTACCGAGGTGGGACGGCGAAGGCAGCGACTGCGGCGGCTGAGCCGGAGGGCCCTCGACTTAGTTGGGAGATACTCACTCGTCACTTGACAAGGTTCGAGGTGCCTCAAAGTCGGGTTGTTGATGTCTGTGGATGTCCGTTGAAATCTTGGCGAAGTCGGGACTTCTGCTCTGACTCCAAGCCTACAGGCCTCACGCAACTCACAACAAACCGTACGTGGTGCAGACCGTCGCGATAGACATGTGTTGGCTCGAGAGACTAAAGCACGCAGCATGGAGATGCATGGTTGAATGCCCCGAGTCCAGCTTAACTGCAAATGTCATAGGCAAAGACATGCATGGCGGGAAGCCTTGAATCACAGCGCTCCAGCTGAACAGTGTCGAGTGTCGAGTCGAAGACATCTACCCCTTGTGTGAGGGCTGCTGATGCATGGTCCAAGGTTTTCGACCGATTCCGGCAGGATGCCATCACAGCGATCTACAGTGCCCAGGCTTGGTTTTTGTGGGCCATGCTTCCGCAATGGGTGATGGTTTTCATCGCTTTTAGAGATGCTGCCCGAACAATCGGCCACGCCCTCGCAGGAGGAAGCCTTGAGACGCAGCCGCTTCCCCCGGGCTGTGTGGATTTGTCGCGGTGATTCCTCGGGTTACATGTAGTTGGTGATTATGATACCAAGCCTGGCCCCACCCCGACCAAGGTCACGGAGTGGTTTCCACCGAACTCATCATCTTCGGAATTTTCTCCGAGGCTCTGAGCGGCAAGACGGGCTCGCATTTCCTAGAGGCAGTCAGGGCAGTTCAGGCCGTCCAGGTGCCTCAGGTAGGGAACGCAGAAAGAACAAGTTGTTTTGTGAGGAGCAGAAGGGTGCCAACCTTATAGCCAAGACTGCTTTGGCCCGCATCCCAGATCCAATGGACTATCTTCCGGAATACGGTAGTTCGAATTCTGAGACCGAGGTTCGGAAAGGCGTTACTCGCGAGGCCAGGGTTTCAGCTTTGATAGACCAGCAATGAGATGGCAGTGAAGCTTGAATTGAGGCCTTGAAGCGCTTCATCGCCACCAGCCCAAAACCCGTGTCAGACACGCCAGGACGTATCTTGACGCTTCCAACTTGCTGTGTGACAACTACCGAAGACTACTGCTCTTCTTGCGGAGCCTTTGCTGTAGCCGGAACACCGGAGCTGCCTTCAGGGTTCTTGCCAACAGGCTTGCAACGGCAGAGGCACCAGCTTTTGCAAGGCCCACAACTCAATTATGTCCTTTGGAAAAAGTGCAACACATTGACCAGCTGCCTGTCTGCGAATCGGGCATGCGCAGGGGTGCGAGATATGTCTGACATATGCGGCTGTCTACTCTAGAAACTGTGGTGGGATCCGATCGGGTGACAAGAAAGTCGAGCCTCGCTCTGTCAGCTCGAAGCGAGGGAGTTGGGAAGACGGCCGATCGATGACATTGAAGTGCCTTGATGCGTGAGTTTTGTCACTCGGAGGTCTGTTGGCAGATGTTTCGATGTCCGCAGGATCTGGCTCCCTGCCATTCAGCGAGAATGCCAGGCTGCTTTTCGACGCAGCGAATGTCCGTTGCTGAGCGCTCGTCCATTTGTTGACCCTGTTCCTGAGACACCTGAGACGCTGATTGCTCAACACAGGATCAGGTGTTGAAGCGTACCCTTTGAAAGACCTTGTGAATCTTCCATTCACACTTGAGCTTGCTTCTGGCACTTCAAAACATGCGCACATTTCGAGGATTGCTCGGTTGGCAACACAGAAGTCGGCTGCGAGCAGCTGCTTCTGGCCCTCGGTTGCGGGCCCCAGAGATTCGGCGGAGTCGAAGGGATCAAGTTCTGGTTCGCCTGCAGGCGATGACAGGCTGGCCCAAAGTGGTGGGGCCAAGATGCTTGCAGGCCGCTGCCTTTTCGATTTGCCGCTTTGCCGTGGCCCGCAGCTCTCACAGCTTTCAGGCCTTGGGCTTTCGGGAAGCGCCCTTCGAGAAGCCGTCTCAGAAGCGGCGCGGGGAGCTGAGCAGCTGAGGGAGGGATGGCATAAAGAGATGGGGCGCAGTAGATCTGTGGGAGCGGTCATAGTAATGTTATTTGCGGAACGCTCTCAGGTCAGCACCTGGGGCACCAGAGCGACAGCTCGCCGCCGTCGGAGCAGGGGACTCAAGGGAAAGGGAGCCGCCCAAGCATCGGATGATGAGGGGCCGAATTTGGGTGAGCGCAGTGCTGTCCCGGCCTAGGCGGATGAATCGAGCGAGTCCGACATGACGCTGGACGAAGTTGCCACAGATCTGACGTGCCTCGGCTGAGCAGATGCATCAGTTATTGCTGAAATACATGGGCACGCACGTATCAAGGCAAATGGCGTTGGATGGTTTGCTGGATCCAGTGGTTGGCTGGGTGCCTACCGAAATGACCGCTTGGCTCGCTCTGTCGAGCACAGAGAGAGTGCTATCAGAGAGGAACGGCATGGATCATGGCAAAATGACCCAGGAGGGAATGAGTTGTGCACGGCGTGGCAAAGTCATGACACGAGGAGAGCACGAATATAACCTAGATTGAACATGATTGAACCAAGAATGAAACACAGGACGTCAAAGGGACCTTATTGGTCTGAGGGTTTGTGTCTCCCAAGCAGGAACGACCACCCGAACAGACATCTGAAGGTCTCTACCGCCAGAATCATGATTTATGAATCAGCACCGTTGCACAGCACAAGCATCAAGCGACAAGGCAGAGCCCGTGCCTTGACTTGAAGAAATACCTGCGCGCAAGCGTCTTCCCTTCACAGAGATGCATGCAAACCCCTAAAGCGCATGGGTTAACTTGATCTTCTGTAAGGCACTGTGAGGCGGCGGCATCTGTCGCGACAGTTCTCAATAACGCAAATTTCTGAGCTTGGAAGACCAAGAGAAAAATCATGCCAATGCTAGTAGTAGCATCTAGCGTTAGTGTAAGGGTCCAGCTCGTTCCATGAGAGAGAGAGAGAGAGAGAGAGAGAGGGAGCTGCGGGCGCGCTCGCGCGCGGGGGTTCGGGAGTCCGCTCGTTCCCTCTGTCCTGGTAGAGAGAGAGAGAGAGAGAGAGAGAGACAGCGTGTGCCGACAGCGAGTCTGACCTGAGACGCTCAGCACCCCTGACAGGTCGGCAGGAGGAGATGGATCGGATCATCCAAATCCTGTTGCGCAAGCGTAAGTGCGGGTCTTTGTAAGGGCATTTGTCTTGGACCGAGCTCAGTTGCAATCTGTGACAGTCGTTCACGTGAGACTTGCGGTATCAATGCCGAGGAACAACGCTTGCCTTGTGGGTCCTCCTGGCGTCGGGAAGACTGCAGTGGTCGAAGGCGGAAGAATTTCGTTCTTGTTTCCCGTTGGTGCCTTGTTCAACCGGCTCTTACCGAAGCGAGCAGTCCGGGAGCACTCATGAGCAAGTCTGCTTCACATCCTCTCTCGTGAGAGATCCCAGCCTTTCACTCTGTCAAGTCGTGGCAGGCCTGGCCATTCGCATTGCCGAGGGCAAGGCATGTCGTTTTGCAGTCTGCAGTGGTGCAGACTTGTGAGCGGGGTGATCTAACCGTACTTGCTTCAGTGAAAAGAGGAACTGGACATGACAAGGTGCCAAATCGCCTGAAGGGGAAGCAGGTTTACTCTCTGGACTTGGGCCAGCTTGTCGAACTCAGCTCAGCTGGCAATTCTGCTATTGTGTGTGCTTGCTAACTTTCCGCGGCTTCCACTGCGGCAGTATCTCAGGCTGGCACGAAGTACCGTGGGGAGTTTGAAGACCGCCTGGAGCCAAGCATCAGGACGAGCAGGTGAAGTCTTCTTGCCTGGGCATGTCTCTCTGAAGGTTTGAAAAAGGTCATCAACGAGGTGACCAGTGACGAGCGGGACGTCTGCCTCTTCATCGACGAGCACGATTCTCAAACTGGCGCAGTCAACATGCCATGCCTCTGCGAGATAGGCCCAGACAGCAACAATCTAGAAGAAACCATCTGTCGCCTAGCAGGATCCATCAGATCGTCGGAGCTGGTGCTGCAGGCCGAACCTTTTGTGTGTGTATACATATGTATGGTCAGGCGCTCCGCGCCCCCCCCCCTCCCCCCATGGTCCATGGTCCAGGATGCCACCCCCTTGTGGGTGGGGTGTGGGGTCTCTCTTCCTTTTGTGGTGTGGTTGTGGGGTTTTGGGGTTTAGGGTTTAGCTTAAGCTTTTAAATTCGCCTAGGGTTTAAGGCTTAAGGTTAACAGTTATAAAGCTTCGAGTCGACATGAGCCTAGGGAGGGTTTCGGGTGTAGGTTGGTTAGGGTGACGGT